CTTCTTTCGCGCTCTACCATTCGTTGCTTTCCTTTGTCTTTTGTTTATGTCTCCGTTAAATGTCCGGCATCGTTTTCGCCCGTTTGTTTTCAACCACTAAACGCCACTCTTCCAATCTAACACTATTGTACCCACTGTTGCCCTGTTCCCGTAGTATATACTATTTCTTATTTGAGAATATTTGTCGACAGCCCTTGAAAGTTATTAAGTTCGTCCAGTTTTCTTTCAGACTTTGATCCAACATCAGCCGGTGTCTTTGAAGTTTGTTTTAACGCTGAAAGGATTGGATTTTAGCCCTGTTTTCCTAGACCCATTACTTATTGATTTTCTAAGTGCTTTGTCGGAACGGAACCAGAAGTGCTTGAACGCTTCGGGCCGGCTGAAGGACATTTCGTGAACAGTTTTCCGCCACAGCTAAGGATGTCTTTGACGTCATTCCGGAAGTCTGCGTTCATGATGAGGAGCACGAAGAAGTTCTGAATGCAGATCATAAGCTTCATAGCGTGGAATACCTGAAACAGGGGGGAAAGGGAGTTCGTGGGTGGGCGGATGGTTGGAGGGGGCGGGGGCAGAAAGACAGGTTTAGGTCTACTTCTCTCTCTATCTATCTACTCGTATATATCTATCCATCTATCTCTTTCTCTCTCTCTCTCTCTCTCACTCTCTCCCCCCTCTCTCTCTCTCTCTCTCTCTCTCTCTCTCTCTCTCTCTCTCTCTCTCTCTCTCTCTCTTTTCTCTGAGCATCGTGGTGTGTATGAGAGAAAGATAGAGAGACATGGACACAAAGAGTCAAAACATAAATATGTATAGGTCTATATAATTTGTTTGTATAATTTGGATAAATCTCTTCCCCCCCCCCCCCCCCCCCCCCCATAAGAAAGATAAACGTGAATATTTTACACCTCCAATGTAAACCAGTTTTTGGCTATCGAAGATACTGTTTGTTGGACTCTGTCTGTGAGGCATTAAGACAGAAAGACTGAGATACATTATAAAATAGACTCCACAGCGTTGAAATCAAACTGAAGCCTTTTGAGTGCAACAGCTAAGCGCAAAACTTGTATGCCTCAGATGCCGGTTTAATCTGTTTAACCTAGATGCTGCTGTTGGCATAGTCTTTGCCGGCTTTTTATAGGAGAGAGAATGTATGAGAATGATTTTACATTGATATGTTTTTGGGTGTTGTACTTCTTATTTGATTGTTTGTTGTTGTTTTGTAGATTCGTTTGTTTTTTACTGTGTTGTTATTTTGTTTTCTTATTCATTTTTTTATCATGGTGGGGGTGGAATCGGAGTTTTTTTGGCGGGGATACGGTATTTGTGAAAAGGGTAAAATAATGTAATGTAGGTAGTAAGGACTTAGGCGTCCTGGCAAACTATCTTAAAGCAATATGTTTGATACAGCTTTGCCTGGGCAGAACACATAGGCAAGTTGATTGTCTGAAACTTTTTTGGATCTTGACTACCTCGATATACCTTAAAGGGGAGACATGGTCAATACTTTTGGAATAAAAGAAGATGTTCGGGATGTCTTACTATTTTACAGGTGTAATGTGGATTTTTTGTTTTAGAGAATTTAAGCAATTTTGCCCAGGTGGTGGCCTAGCGGCATACTCTTCAACAATTTTTCAAGAAAGGGATTTTTAACGTGCAAATGGGCCCTCTGAGAATTTTTGACCATATCCGAGAAGATTAAGTACTCGACTTTGCCTTCCTTAGGATAAGGGTGTGGGGAAGGAGAAGACTGACCGAGTGGTGCCGTGCTAGAAACACTTCATATGACTGTCATTCCGAAGGCAAAGGACATGGTTCTGGGAGTAGGATAAAGAACTGGGAAGAAATGTGTGCGCCAGGAGAAAGGCCCTAGTTGTCGGAAATTTTGGATATTGATTATTGGCTAATTCTAGTAGCAAATTCAATGGTGACCACACTGATTTTTAAATGTTTCCTGCATTTTGAGTAATTTTAAAGATATGCCACATTTTGTAACACAGGGTGTAAAAGCAAAGTTTGGAGAAAAGGTTTAACCTAGTGAAATACATCAAGCTGCAAAAATAATCAGTTTAAAATAGGCTTTAATATTATAAAAATTTTCATTGTGTTATTGAGAAATGGTTAGCAAACGTGTGTTTTCTGAAAAAAAATGTGACAAGGTACGACTTTTTTGGCATGTTTAAAAATAGCTCTGCCGACAACTGGAACCTGTATCCAGGCAGACACACAAATTGGGTTTAAAGCCCTTTCATCTCTGGCATGTTGTGTCTGGTAGAACAGATAGCCAAGTAGGTGAATGCCCTTAAAAACTCACCAAAAACACAACTTCAAAATCCTCGTCGATGACTTGAATAAGGATCCTCCGTACCATAGCCCAGTATAATGCCAACTAAGTTATACGCGAACCCATTAATTAGTGCAGCTATCCTTGCGTGAAATTTCCAAATTTGATTTTAGTTTCTCCGACTGGTGTGTTGCAATGACCAGCATACCCACCCCCACCAAACAAAAAAACCCGGGGACCGGAGATGGGTCATCATCACTTAAAACAGAGATAATTACCTCTACTGCGGTTCTATAGCCAGGAATCTCTCTACGCTGAAGCTTCTGATGTAACTCGGGGTCGTGGATGTTGGCATAATAAGTCAGCCATTCGTTAGCCACGTTAGGAAATTGGCCAATCATAGTGAAGATACCGAGGGTGACCAATGAAATCGTTGCACGTGACGTTTTAGACTGTCCCGATTGGTTGGATGCCATCTGCTTTCTTTTTGCTGTAGAAATAACATATAAGAGATACCTTATCGTGCACTAAACAGATCAACTCCCAACGAGCAAAGGAACTAAGGTGCACTACACAGATCCTCCAGTGGGAACATTATCTTTGTGACTTAATCAGGTTAGACAAAATACAGGCCTATTTAGCAGCATATCAACATAATATCGAAATTTCTTCATCTCTCTCTCTCTCTCTTTCTCTCTCTCTCTCTCTCTCTC